CATAACTGTCAGTTTGGATTGCATCTCAATGTGGTAGTGGTGGTGGCTGTGTGCTGTGGAGTTGGTTCCGACTCATAGTGACGCTGTACAGCGTTTCCGAGGCTGTAAATCTTTATGAGAGCAGAAAGCCTCATCTTTCTCCCACGGAACAGCTGGTAGTTTCAAACTTCTGACCTTGAGATTAGTAGCCTGATGCATAAACACTACACTACCAGAGCTCCTTGCACCTCAGTGTAAAGAAACCAAAAATCCTCAAAACTGGAACAGTAAACAGCATCATGATAAACAGAAAATGTTTGAGTAGTTAAAAACTTCATTTTGCGTGGATCCATAATCAACACTCATGGAAGAAGGGGTTAAGAAATCAAATGATGCATTGCATTGAGTTAATCTGCTAAAACTACCTTTTTAAAGTGCTAAAGAGCAAACAAGTCACTTTGAGGACTAAGATGCACTTGTCCCAAGTCATAGTATTTTCAATCACCTCACATGCATGTGAAAGTTGGACACTGAATAAGGAAGACTGTAAAAGAATCAATGCATTTGAGTTACAGCGCCAGTGAAGAATACTGAAAGTACTATGGACCACCAGAATACCAAACAAATCTTGTCTTGGAAGAAGTACAGCATGAGGATAGTGAGACTTAATTTCTCATACATTGGACATGTTGTCAGGAGGGACTAGACCCCGAAGAAAGACATTAATTATGTTTGGTAAAGTGGAAGGTCAGCAATAAAGAGGAAGATCACCAAGGAGATGGACTGACACAGTAGCAGCACCAATGGGCTCAAACATAACAATTGTAAGGATAGTGCAGGACTGGGCAGTGTTTCCTTCTGTCGTACATAGGATTTCTATGAATTGGAACTGACTTGATGGCATCAAACAGCAACAACAGTCTCTACAATGATATCATGAAGCAAATAATTTTTTGTAATGGTAAAATAATTTTTAAATGTTGTCTTTGGAACTTAGCAAGACACTGGACTGCTCAGTAGTGGATTACTCTAAACTAACATTTTGGAAGACAGAGGTAATGTATTAGATATCTAAAGAAAACAAGGGAATTTACTTATTAGTCAAAGTTGGTATACATCTTGAGCAAGCTAGGATCCCAAAGAAGCTCTGTTTCTATACATTTGCTATAGTAACACACCACTCAGTTTACACTCTGCTCTTCAAGCTACAGCCCATTGCTGAAAACACAGGTGGTGGTGGTGGTTATGTGCTATGGAGTAGGTTCCAACTCATAGTGACCCTGTACAGGATTTCTGAGGCTGTAAATCTTTCCAGGAGCAGAAAGCTCCATCTTTCTCCCACGGAACAGCTGGTAGTTTTGAACTGCTGACCCCGAGATTAGCAGCCTGATTCGTAATCACTACACTACCAGAGCTCCTGGAAAGTACAGGTTGTTGTTGTTGTTGTTGTTATGTGCCATGGAGTCGGTTCTGACTCATAGCAACCCTGTACAGGGTTTCTGAGGCTGTAAATCTTTACGAGAGCAGAAAACCTCATCTTTCTCCCACAGAACAGCTGAACAGCTGGTAGTTTCAAACTGCTGTCCCTGAGGTTCACAGCCTGATTTGCAACCACTACGCTACCAGAGCTCCTTGAAAGCACAGGTAGTACTCACCAATTGTAATCCAGTCGAGACTGGTGAAGTTGCTGCTGTTTTAGGAGAAGCTTTGTCTCCTGCTGGGCCAACAGGTGTTGAAGGCGTTCCTTTTCAATTTCCAGCTCCATTTTCTGAAGCATAAGTTGCTGCCTTCTATCTTCTGAGAGTTGCTTTTTGATATCAGTTTCACTGGGATGCAGTGTCCCATGACCATGCATCAAAGGTGCCCAGGAAAGCCCACAATAACTGCATGATTCAGGATGTGTCCTGGAACACTGAGGGGCCATGTTTGTAGGGTGGCCATATTTGCTCTCAGGAACATTTTCAGAAAGTCTATGACCACAACATTGACTAGATGGAGGTCTATGGTCTGGACATTCTTTTATCTTCAACTCTTCACATGGAACTTTTTCTGTAGGGACTACACCCACTGGTTTTCTCCCTGGAGACAAACAATTAAATGTTTTGGTGTCTGATGACACTCTGTCTAAACCTTCATTGGGATGATGATGGGCTGCTGGTTTCAAAGAATTATTCCTAAACTCCATAAGTGATTCTGAAGCTGAGTCCTGTTTTGCAGACTTAGATCGTTGTTTGCTTTGATAATATATTTGTGGTTTGGCCACGCTCAAGTAGGATCCATCCAGTTCCATAGATGAAGACTGGAGAGTACTTTTCCTTTTGGATCCCTAAAAGGAACCACAAGACCATTTGTTAAATAAATAAAACATAAAACAAGTTTTTCCTTTTGACTTTTCAGAAATTAGTGATATGTTTTCTTGCCAAACAAAACTGTTTTGTCTTCTAAGTAATAAAAGACAGAACACACACATCTAAACAAACATGAGCCAGAAAACTAAACAACCTACATTTCAGTCAAAGCTTTGAATCAGTTCATTCTGTTTCAACCCTCTGCTGAAAATTTGCA